ATTAAAAATTAACCTATAACTTTTGAACTAGGCAAAATCCTCGAATGATTTTGTATTTGTAAATGATAGGCACATAATAGCGCTCAAACGAGGACGTTATTGCTTAATGGTACTAGTTGATTTTTAAATGTAACGGCTGATGTTATGGTAACGAACAATTTTTGTGCTCTATTGATGAGTAATTTTTAGAGGAAAACAGATTTATTGACGGGAAAAAATCATAAATACAGAATGAGGTTGCGTTATTGTCGCTGAAGCGAGCCCACAAATGAACTGGTTATTATGACGACATTACTGAACTTTTTAATACAATCAGCCATCAAAGTGTGATTTGGATTCCAGGCGCACAACAGATATATTTTGAAAACTTTGATGACCATAAACATTTTGATGATGGACCGGCAATATCACATCTGGAATTAGCAGTCGTTCCGGGACACGATATGGGATCACCCGATTTGATGACTGGTGCATAACCTGGCTGACCGTCACATTCCGAGCTGTGATTCTTAGCAACCAGCACTGGTGGAGGAACGGATGGATCCGATGATGGGTGCTGTATCTGAATTTATGAATTTTTGTCAAAAATTTGCAAACAAAAATCGAAATTTCATGTGGAGAATTTCCTTCGCCATGAAATTTGTTGAAATTTCGAGATTGCTACTAAGAGAGTTGCTGAGTGACAATCGCAATAAATTGCTGATGAATCTCACAACCCACTGACATTAAAATGGATCAATGACACCTTACTTTGCAACAAATGAAGCCATTCTCAGTACCAGTGTAGAGGCATGCCGAATTGTCAGAACATGAATGTGATGTGCCAGTGCGTGCATGTGGATTGCACAAGCGATAACTGCCGGCTAATTCAACTGGCTCAAGATTTGCTGGTTGCGGTGGACAGATATCTGTAAGATGAGCAGCATTCATGAGGTACATTCGGAAAGTTGCATGAATTCAGCATATTTCAGCGTGTTGTACAAGTAAATGAACGCTGCTCAACATGAACAGCAATCAGCTGCTATTGAATGAATATGCCAGCATTGCATATCACATTCCAATGACGATTGAAGTAAACGAATGCAAAATGAAAATATGCAACAAAATTCAAATGGCCATTACGATCTCAAAAGCAATTCAAACCGCTCATACATATCCCAATTAACAGGCCGAATAACATTTCTTTGAGGAATAATTGATTGAGCGAATCATCAAAACTGCACTCCTAATAGATAACAACAATGATCATAAATTTTATAGATAATGAAGATAATCGGACATACTCGGTAATTTAACATCACTCTCTAATCCACAACAAATGTAGCGCTCTAGATTACTAGAAAATTGACAATGTCGATTAGTACCACAGCCTTGAAGAGAATCGGATATTGGTGCTGATGGACTGCAATAGCGATACTGTGTACCGCTTTCACCTGGTATTGGTACCAGCTGAGGAGGACAGTCTGTAAAATTACAATAAAAACTTAACGCTAATCAGATGTGTAGTACTTCAGCAATCTGCATATTGCAAAAAAAACTACATTCAACTGGCATACTGAAGGTCACTAACATCCAGTATCGAACGATTCAGGTGATTTGCAACAATAAAATGAGCTTGCAGATGCAGAGAACCAACAGAAGAAATTGCCTGGACACGAATCATCAACATTTGGTGTGCATTGCATCGGTTGAAGGGAAAGTGCCGATATGAAAGGCATTGATTTAGCTGGGCATAATACTGAAATCACATCAAATCAACTATGTTAATGTAATTGTCACTTGATCTGTCACCAAAATGCTATTCATTGTGAGCAGTAAACGAACAGTTCCGTTGGAATGTTTGTTTCAATCTTATCGTAAAACAATTCATTTAGTAATTGTGACTGATTGTGGTTAATATGTTATTACACTGCAAGTCACTAGACGCTCCACAGCACACGTTCTGTTCAAGAAGTGGGCTGTTGTAACACCTATAGCCATCCGGACAGCCACCCGAAACCTTTCCTGATCCACCAGGATTCGAACATTGCTGCAAACGAGATGCATCTGATTCTTTGGCCACCACTGTTCCTGGCGGACATGCTTCGCTAAGGCAATAATTTTGACAGGCCTTTTGGCTTGCGAAATTATTACGGTTCCCTATAAAAATTGCTTGTTATTGTTGCGTTCTTTCCAACTTTACCAGTACATATGATATGGTGAAACAGAAATCAGAAAGACATTCTAGCGATTCTACCATACACTGCCTATGTTATTTACTTATAAAGATCCAGTATATACAGTAACTATTGTCTATCGTTACGACGTTGAATGAAATGTCGAATCAGGTAAAGGAAATAGTGAAGTTAGAACTTAATCAGTAATAACCTTCACATCCATTATATTGGAATGTTTGACACATTTTCGTATCAGCGTTGAAATAATAACGTGTGATACGAGCTGAACTGCATCGAACACCACTATCACGAGGTTGACTGCATACGAAATTCTTGGATGGACAGCATAATGACTTGGTCTGATAGACAGTGCCTGTCCATGTGGTTACTGGAGTACAGTAATGCGTCGATGGACATTGACGATTTGTTGCGCAAACTCGTGCTGCACCGTTTAGTTCCTTCCAAACCTTGAGTACAATCATATAATATTATCAAACTTTTACACTTCATTGAAATGCTCTGCATCGTTTGCAATATTTAGCGTATCTATTGCCTGACGCAAATTGTAGTTCAATCGCTCCTAAAACATGTCATTCATAGGCTGGAATTATTGACGGACGTAATAAACAGTGACAAACTTCGCCTCCATCGGGACAGCTTTCAACCCGACAATAGTCTTTACAATCTTGCTGCGTCGCGAAGTTATTCGAATTTCCATCACATCCATCAAATGAAAACGTTTGGCATGCACGTGTTGGTGCATCATAATACCATCTTGTTACGGCTGGACCACACGTTGAACCACTTTTGTAAGACAGTGCACATGTGTGAGCTGAAATACGATCTGCATACAGGCTCATGCGATCAACATACTACACTTCAATATGAGCATTCAAAAGTTGTTTAATGCTCATTCAGTTCTATTACAGAGGTGTATTCACTAGAATGTTCACTGAAAACAGATCATATTTCATTCGGATATGATTGTGATTAATGAAGTGAATTTAAACTGCTTGTTGCATGCCTTGTGTTGGGCAACATCCATGCGTATGACCATCGTAATAACAGTAATGATTCGCCGGACATGTGACTGTTGTAGAGGTTGAACCGCTACAGATAATAAAGTTACCATTCGTATCTGTCAGTGCTGTACCTTGAATGCACTGTGGTTCACCTGAAGTTCCTTCATTACTCTTCTCAAAACTTTTGCTCTCTTAAGGAAGGACCAATATAACTAATGGCTTTCAGTAACTGAAAACTTTGTAAGATGTAACAGTTCTTTTTTGCTTGATATTAACAATGTTAAAATCAGATCGCTCACTTCTAGCATCACGACAATAGTCTTGGCATTCCTTGTAGGATTCAAAATTATTGGCATTGCCCTGACAACCCGAATAAATGAATTCTTCACAGTTGCCAGTTTTTGCGTTAAACCACCATCGATTACTATACGTGCCGCAATTGCCTTGTTCACGCGGTAATTTACATACATACCTGTAAACAAACTTCAACTTGCTCTCACCGAAGAGAATTTCATCAGTTCAATGTCGTCATCAATTCCCATAAATTATGCAGCTTGTTCAGTTATGAAGAGATGAAAAGATTACGAGTGCTTAAAATTCAACATTTCACCAAAAATGAATTGTTATCTCAAAATTTCACGCATTTCAAAATTTTTTCGATAATTTTTTTGAACTGATGATTATGTGCGAATGACTAGAAAGATTAAATTAAACGAGCATGCGAATTAAATTATGTGCGAGTTAAATTTCAAAAAAAAAATAAAAGATTAAATTAAACGAGTAAATGAGTAAGTAATTGAAATTGAGTAACTCACTGAGGACGAGGACAACAAACACCACTAAATGTTCTTGAATCAGATGTTGGCTCACAACTATGAGTGGAAGGACACATATTAGCGCTCGAGCCAGTTGGTGAACAGTCCATATTATGTTCGCCACTGCTATCCTTCAACGGTTCACCTGCCCCGCACAAAACTAGAACATCATCATTCATCCACTGTTAATTAATCCAGTTTTACTTTCTCAAAATGATCAATCAGAGTATAAAAATGACAGGTAATCGAAACTTCTCTCACTTCGGGAACAGAATTTTTCGCAATGATCTTGCGAGAGGAAATTATTGAAGTTGCCACCTTGTCCGAGATACTGAAAATGAATTAGTTGAGGATCAAGACTTATGAAAAGTTAACAATGAGAATGATAGTGGAAAGTAAACGTTTGACAAACCTAAAATGATAATGCTTCAGGTAGCTCTCAATAAAAATACTAAACACCCACCGAGAACTGAATACAACGTCCCTCTCTTGAGTCATAATAGAAGCGTGGATAGGTATTCCCAGAACCATCTGGAATGCCAACATCGAAGTATTCGGACGGAATGCCACCGGCTGTATTGTAGACCTCTGTTGGAATTGCACCGTTTCTCGAACATACATGTACTGAAACATTTCAAATATAGTACTCTTAGTAGCGACTTCTGACTCATTCAGCATTCGATTGTCCATTGTGTTGATCATATCAAAGCCATATTCTTTGATTATTTAACTTTTGATATACAATTTCCTTCCTCCCTAAAGAATGTTTCGTTCCGATGGATTCTTCATTCTTAGTTAAATTTCGCCAAGCGAAATAACTTTAAAAAATTTTTATAAGGAGGGAAAAACGAAAAACGCTTACAGTAGGTAGGACAACATTGTTGGAGTGTTCCCATTGTTGTGCAACTATAATTTGGACTGTCGCATTCATTATCGTTTCCTTGACAATGAACTGGTTCTTGCTTCACGCCAGTAGTTCGGTCTCGATAAAGCGGCAGACCACGATTACAAGCTAAAAAAATTAATTGAAACTACAAGCTTTCGACTTTTTTGTTTCCTTGGAGCATTTATCAATGTTTCATATTATTCGATAAATTACTTGAAAGATGTTTGAATCCGATTTGAAAATTTCAATACTGAGTCTTGCTTGATTGATGATTTTTAAGATTCAACATGCCCCTCCAAGAACTGTTTCTGCTGAGTTTCGATAGGGCTGAGGATTTACATGGTGAAATTCGATGAATACAACGGAAACTTAGTCCTCATCTGGATCGCATCTCATAAGTGTATCAATCTTTCTTAGATGCCTTATTAATTGCATGATCACAATGCGATCCCTCTTCAATTGCTAGGCAATAAATTCACCAAGTAAAAAATCCTATGTTGTAAAAATTTACACATTGCACTGTATGGTGCTATTCATGGTACCAATTGTTCAAAAATTGATCATAATGATTTCACTGAAGTTCACCGCCATCGCTAGGATTCATAGCCACGACGAAGTATCTCTAATCCCTCTCAGACGCAAACGTGATTGAGTTATGTTAGCTGTATTCAAAACGTCAAAAAGCAATGTTTGATCGGGACAAAGCTCGTTTCCGGGTCGAAGTTCAATCGATATGATTTGCATAAATAAATATTTACTCAACAAATGCGTCGTCGCCATTCGGAAATTCTTGTTTGAGAGTGTTCATTCACTTCATTTTGTGTTTAAACAAAAACCTTTTTCACCTTAACAAAACACACAATCCGCAATACTTTACGATATTTGCATCGAGCATTTGTCTCGTGTAAGTAGTGAATAGTTGCATGAACTGATCTATCGCACTTCGTGTAGCATTTTTGAAATGCGCTTGAATGCACAACACAAGTAAGGAAGTGGACAAGTGAACAATAAGCGGTTGCTAACTTACTTTGTTTGCAATAACTCTCACAATGATCTTTAGTTTGGAAATTGTTTGCATTCCCACCGGATCCTTGATATTTCAGTTCTCTGCATTCACCGGTTATCGGATCATGGTACCAATGGTTCAGCGGTGTACCACCGCCTGGTGGAGCATAACCCTCATTTGGTGGTTGAATGCATGCAAACGCTGTAATAAAACTATTGACAATCACTTCAAAAATACTTAGTTGATCAAAATACTCAAGTAATCAGCTTTGATAACTTGCACGGCTATTGAACAGATATCTTTTGCAAATTTCGCAAAATTGATCCTCAAAACTGATCCTACGATAACACTTTCGGATCCGCTCTAAATCGAGAACCTCATCGTGAGTAATTTTCTCATCACTCCAACGACACATGTAAATTAACACAAATTTCATCTGAATTCTTCATGGAGAACACATTCCATTTGATCAGTGACATAAATTAATCAATGAAACGGTGAAATCATAATGCTTTTGGATCGAATTTTTTGATGAGAGAACGTAAAATGGAAAGGACCTCTTGAAGGACAACAAAAACTGATCGGATTGTTCACTGTGCAATCTTCACTGTCACAAATGCAATCGTATGCAAGTGCCCCAATTGCTTCACAGGTCGCATCTGCACCTCCATAGCACTGCTGTACTTGATTATCGATACGAAATTTCGGATTATTTCCATTCAAAGGACAGAAGCCATAATTGAGACAAACAAGACCATCGCGCGTCCTCAACATCTTCATTACAGTATTGCAATTGTTATTCTCTGGTGAAACATATTGAAATATGTTAAGATGGATCAGATCTCAATGTGCCTAGAGTGTAATGTCTCAAATGAAAGTTTCTAATAACCGTGCTCAAGTAACATCATTTTACCGGAACGGAGGTTGATTATTGGCACATCGGCACTCGCCTGCTCTACAATAGGCACCTGGCCATACAGCTTCACACTGCCGATTCTGCGTACAACCTGACTCACCAGGATTGATCTCTGCAAATGATTACTTTTAAATGAAACTTCCATCAATTATAGTGGTAGTGAACTGATGAGCTTGAAGTATGTGAAGGAAATCGTTGTGTCGACGCCTGAATTACATCGATATCGAATTTTGAATGAATTAATGGCCACCGTAAATTACTCACTTCTCCAACAGTACGAGTCAATCTCAACATAAGTTGTCAAACAAGCGCATCGCTTGTTACCAGCACAATAATTACCAGTTCCACAATCAGTTGACACTTCACATGGTCGTCCAACAGTACCGTGTTGAGCATTAACATTCAAAATTGACAAACTCGAAAGCATCAGGGAAATATAAAATAAAAAGACAAGCGATATTGTATGCTTGAGCGGCATTTGCAAGCGAATTGTTCGTATGAATCCAATCAAATCACGTTGAATCGTAGATCTGCTTGCGAGCACAAGTTGTGCAAAATGAGCTCAGTTATTCGTGTGTCAAACGCGACACAATTCAAAGATCGTCACTCTTGAGGAATAAACTTTTTCTTCGGACGTGTACAAAGGCCGACAAAGAAGTGGACAGACTTCTTTTTGGGAGTAATGGAGAGATACTACTTAATTCCGCTTTATTTACCGTGAATGTTTTCAATTGTATTTGCACAAACCATTCACTGCACAATTAAAAGACGTTAGTAAAACAGTTCAATTATTTGCAAAGGAAAGAGTTTCGCTCATTTCAGATATGTTCCATACGAAATCAGCGCAACGCAAACAACAACTAATCGTTAAGGCATAATTCTTACTCAAACAACCCTGCAAATTTTAATGTATATGAAATGAATTTCACAAATGCTTATTCTAGCTAATAATGCTAGTTACTCGCACATTCCATCATCATTCATGCAGTACATCTCTTCAGGCAATTCGAAAGTTCATCTTCGTGATGTAAGGACCTTATAATTTCTTCATGATTGAGCATCATCGAATGGAACAGATTCGTTGCTAGTCATTTTATTGATGAGTAATGCCAAATTCCACAGATACAGCTAAATTGCTCAACGTGATTCATACGGCTGAGCGAATTCAGTATGCTGACAAAGCCTTTACATTTCAGCACCATATTAATCAATGTTGCGCTATTATGAGAATGTCTTGAGTACCATTTTCAAGGTACTTGTGTCCTCAGCTTTTCCCTCGACTATAATGATTTCTTCATACGGTCTAATAGAATAGATTCCCTGCTATCAGAACAGTGTATTTGTTGTCGTTAGGTAATACTTAGTTGCATAAATACATTTGAATTTCTAAAGGTATCTCATGTAGCTGAGCGAATCTATTACATCACCAAACTTTTCACGATTGATCGGCATGTTCATAGTTAATCCTTTATGTAATTATAACTGACTAGAGCAATTTATAGAGCGTAAACCGCGGCGATCCTTACGTCCATCTTTGAACACTTAGGTGAGTATTTTGCGCTGTTTAACTCTAATCGATCTTAAACTACAAGAAAAGTGGCAATAAGTTTCACGCGAAACGCTCACTTCCAGTAATTTAAAAGTGAGTAGCATAATTTTACAAAATTCAACTGACGAAGTATACCTCTACAGTTTGAGGAATAGTTACTAGAGAGACGCCTTTCGATTAAAATCAAATACTGAAGAAGTACAGAATCACTAAAACCTGAAATAGCCCCGGAAGGATATTTTTCAGTGGATCGAACGAATAGTTCGCGGATGCACGAAGATCCTCTTATTGTAAGTATCAGAAATCGTTGTTTGCTCAAACATTTAAGTTTCGCTATCAGTGAGTAATGCAATAATTCATCCGTTATAATTTTGCCTCATACACATGTCCATTGCTTAAACTCGTTTAATTCGGTTAGCAATCGGTGATATCTGTAGTAAAAACTTGTAATTAAGCGGTATTTTCTGTAAATTATGGGTGGTCTATAGCATTTATAGCTTATGCTTTCGTAAAATTTTGATTATGAATGATCACTTCACTTTAGGTGCTTCTTGGGAACAAATGCGATGTATACAATGAGATGAAATGTGGAGCTGTTTGAAGAATATGTGAGTTAGATGTATCAGTATAGTGACATTTCGGTGCAGAGAAATTTAATATGAAACGGCTTGTTGCGGTATGCCTGATTTATACTAAACAACATTCTATTGGTAAAAGGATACTTTTCATCAATAAACAATCACTTGTTCGTACCAATATAAAGATTAATTCCACTTTAATTCATTCCACTTCATCAAAACATGCGTACATTTGTTCTCTCTATCATTTATGTGAGTTTTGTTTAACGAATCAGTCATTGAAACTTCCATAGGAAACCACTCGTTGATCATCTTTTATAATGCAAAACAATTGAGGATTGCTAATTCACATTCATAATAATGCACCTCGAGGATGACTGATTTGCTAGAGCTTATCTATCGATTACAGCTATCACTGCTTGAACAAGCGATCCTGCAAACGAATCAAATGGACGATGATGATGATGAGGTGTTCGAAATTCTCGATGCGCGCTCCATGGGAATTCGCGAGACAAGTCGAGTTTCATCGTTACACGATTGCCAAAAAAGATGTGGTGGATGTGCAAGCTTAGTATTATATCCAGACAACACCTGCGTCATCTTCGATTATTTAACCGCAGTGGTTATGTCCTCTTATGGAGCACTTTGTTGTGTTCCACGTTCAAACGATTCGTTTGTCTGTGATCAGTGTACCTCAAACTCAGCCATGCACACAATTGGCGGTTATTATTTCACACACTCACCTGCTATATCGCTCACTCATTCAGCTTTATAATGGAATCTGGAACAGTTTCCCGCATAAGCTAATTCCATGCATGCAATCTGTTTTCTCTTGCGTCTTTCATCGTTGAGTTACGTTATCAGATATGTGCTATCAGTGTATTGAAACAAGTAGTACTTAATACGACTATGAAGAATAATCTGTCACAATCCAATTGCTGAATCAACTTTCTATTCAGCCGTATGCGCTAGAGAAGAATCAATGAGTGATTGAAAACGCATATGCGCCAGTGATTAGGACAATTTACAGATTCTCTTGTTGGGCATACGAACATTCTTGGAGTTTGGACGCTATTTACACAAACCAATAGCACATATAAGGTTTCTTCGACCTACCAACATCAGTTTTGCATCACAACATATCAATGAACGTTCACTAGATAATAGAAAAAAGATAATCATACAAATGCAACGAAGCGTTTTCATTTCAAAAGAACGTCAATGAAATTTATGTTGAACATTAAGCAGTGTGGCATAATAGTACACCTGTGAATAGATGTATTTTTCAGTGTTCCTGTATTTCAGACATTGCCTTACGAGTGTCTGGCTACTCCACTCGACTATGAAGAAGAATGTCAAAAAGAAGGAGCACATCTTGCTTCGATTGAATCTGTTGAAGAGGACCAGTTTGTCAGCTGTAATTATTACACGATGATTTTTTAGTTTTTTAAAAATTAAGCATTTTGAAGTCACTTCTCACGCTCATCGTTACCCTGATATTTATCATTTTGACGATGTTGCGGAAATATAGGTGCACAAATCAGTGTCTCTATCAGGGCATAACAGTTCTTTTGGTGTTAAGGACGTTTTCTAAGAATTTTGAAGGATTTTATGTCATGAGTAGGATGGCCTAGAGGCTCCGTGAGTGTTCGGGCTAGTGATCTTTCTGTTCCGAACTGTTCTATTCCACCCTTCAATTGTTCTGTTCTTCGTATCCTTTTTTTCTGGAACTACTCTGTCCTCTCCCCTGAAATAAAACGGGAATAGAACGGTTTGACTGGAACAAAAATATCGCCGGTTCAGATAACGTGTTGTGGAATGTTCAACATTCAATTGAAGTGGCATCATTTGCATTTGCAAACGTGATTTGCTGGCAAATTCACTGTAATTCTTGATGAGTAAGCAAATTTAAGTTTTGGGAACTAAATTGAAAATGGAATTTCAGCTCTTGCTTCCACATCATGCAACTGTAAACACATTGGTCTCTATTCGAAATCTTGGCCCAAACAGAACTTCCAGTGGAGAGATGGAATTGAAACAAATTATACGAACTGGAGGTTTGGAGAACCATACGTGAAAGGTCACATATGTGTACATATTTGGAAAACGAAAGGATGGGCAAGTGCATCGTGTACGTTACGTGGAATTGATTCTGTAGGATGTTGTGCTGTTTGCAAGCGTAATTAATTAATGACAACATTTCGCAACTGATCGTTCACTTTATTTTCGTGCATTATTCAACTGCTTTTCTACAATAAATATTCACCAGATAATAATCATGAATGCTACAAAATATGCGTTGTGCTGGCTAGTAACAGATTGAAAGGAAAAATTCGATGGAACAAGGTATAAAAAGCATCACAATAAGCGTCGACGTGGGCATGGACAATACTCTCCGCTGCCACCCTGCTGGCCAGGTTCTCCAGGCTGAAATCAGCGATCAATTATGATAAGCAAAAACAAGTTTCATCGCATCTTCATAAATGACAGTTTATTGTTGAAAAAAAAAATCAACCAAGAGGAGTTCACTGAGTGAGTTTTTACACTTCTGTTATTCAAAAAAATCGAACTCCAATAAACAATAATCTCAATTTCGTTGCGAATGATACATTTTTCTCTCAACATCCCCTATTTATTCATCGTACCACATAATTTTTTTCTCATTTTTTTCCATGTCTTATCGAAAACAAACAAACCGAGATAGAAATTACTCACAGTGTTTTTAATAAAAGTTTTCAATAGCAATCATTTCTAAACCTCTTCCTGATTCAACTTCAAATTCACTCAAAATTTATATCGTTTCAAATGGAAACTTTCGGGTGATCAATTGAATAGAACTAAGATCATAAAAGACCCCACCTCTCCTGGAGCACCAGTCTCACCAGGCATTCCTGGTGGACCCTCAGGACCCTGTGGTCCAGGTTCACCTGGAGGACCTTGTTGGCCGTCCTGGCCACGATTGCCAGGCTTACCTTGCATACCTGGTGGTCCAGGCGGCCCCTTATCGCCTTGTATGGGATGTCCATATCGTCCATTCCTTCCTGGTCTACCGTCTTGGCCTGGTTCACCAGGAGGACCTATATTGAAACATAATTTAAAGCTGGATTTCATAATTACCCTCAACGATGAACAGTCAAAATTTGAGAAAATCGACAGTGAAACTGCGACAATTGCAATGGCTCCGCATCGAACATATAAATACCTCGTAGCCCTTGCGCACCACGTTCACCAACTCGTCCTGGTTGACCGTCAGAGCCGTCACGTCCTGGATAACCCATTCGGCCCATTGGTCCCTCTTCTCCAGGTGGACCGCTCGGGCCTCGGGGGCCAGGCGGTCCAGCTGGACACTTGATGCAACCAGGTTCTGGGAGATTCAATATTGAAACAACACCGGCAACTCCTGCCAAACCAGGTATACCGGGTTCACCAGGCTCTGGAAATTCATCGAATTTAACTGATTCTGCTTAACAACAGCACGCAATTGTTTGCGAACAAGCATGGATGAGTCTTGATCATTGATTTTAGCTCAAAAATGAAATGAGACTGAAATGAGTGGAATTAAAATGAGCAATAAAGCGGTTATTGGGAAATATTTAACCGACGAAATCGATGAAAATCTGATGTTCGAATATATATAAACAGTTCTGATGAGCAATTTTGCAAACCTCCTGGTTCACCGCGATCACCTGGTGGTCCGGGTGGTCCGCGTGGGCACTTGTGGGCTCTAGATTTACAATCTGAAATTCTTGAGATGCTCAACGCTTAAGATTACGTCGAAAATGTGCTCACCAGGTAATGTGGCCAGATACCGAAACGACACAAGCAAAAAATAATATTTCATCAGCAGCACTCACGGCATTTTGTGACGCCATAACCAGCTTGTCGACGCCTCCTAATTGAAAATACATGACGAATCGTATCAATTTTGCCGTTTCTGCTAACTCGCCTCGACTGAAGTTGCATCATTCCATCCCACGCATCTTCGTTAATCGACTTGAAAATTATTTCAAACCATTGAACAAATCACCAAAAATCACAGTACAATTAAAGAGGTTGTACTAACTGGCTGCATTCTGATAAGCTTCAAAAGAGCAAATCTCGAAGTGTCCACATGGAGAGGGATCATTTCTTGCGAAAATTTGACTCATAAACATCTCATGATGGATGTTATGGAACAAGTATCGATATTTACAACGATTGAATGCTATAAATTGAATAGTTAAATAGGTATTCAAACAAACTTTTTTTCGACATGTTCATAAGATTGAAGCCCATTATTGAAACGTTACCTTAATTTCTCGCATATCATTCATAACGTCATCATACAAAGAGTTTATGTCCTGTATAAGTACTGTAATCGCAATAGTACATATCAAAATAACACTTGATGAAAGCAACGTCGCTATACCAACACTCACTTTCGTTGACATGACAGCGGTGTTTTCGTTTTACTTGGTCGATCTTAATGAGAATGAAAACTCAATATTTGGGACGATTGCACGAGGGAACGAACGTAGTAAGCACTAATAAATATCAAATTTTATGACTGGTTTCCCCGCAATCAAATAAACCAATTCTAACTTTAGTTTGACGTTTTTTAACGCTCCATTGCAGAATATTTCTAATCTTTAACAACAGAATACTTTAAAGATGTGAAGTTCAAGCAATTCTAAAAAATTCAAGCAAAAATAACTATCAAATATAGCACAGATGAAATTAGATATGCCATTTCAAATGAACTAGATAAAAATTTTCGGTTCAGATAAACCATAGAGCACAGATTAGGAGAAATGATGTTTTTTCAATGTTCCACTGCAACAGAGAGAGATTACTTTTTGCAAAAAAAATAAAAATCGCTGCTGAAGTTTTCAGGACCTAAGAGTTCGTTATAATTGAAAAAATGACAGAGAACTGAAATAAAAGTTCAGATTCAATTACTTGAATAAAAGTTCAAAGTGAGAAAGAGCATATTGAAAGAATCGACAAACTGAAGGAATTGGAGTGATGAAAATAATGTAACCGCACTTTATTTATACTTGTTTGAAAGAAAAGATCGCAAAACTTGTAGGATGAATGTGCATGAACTAATGGATGACTATAATGAAGAAATATCGAAATGTTCCACCATCACAAACCAGTTCGGATGTCGTATAGCAAATATATTTTCGATGATATAACCGGATAAAACCTTTTCTAGTTCGGTAATAAACATCTTTTGATTCAATCACTGAATTCGTTTTCTAGCAACACTTCGAAAAAAGCGTACAATTATGCACTCATCCGTAAATTTTTGAGTAGATCACTGATTGTTAATTATGTTGAAACGATCAACAAATAAGAAGAGTCGAGCGAACAGCAGACCACGTCTCGCAGCTGCTCGTCTCGTCACAACACAATAAATCACTAGTGCCCACATTCTTAGGATTGGCCATAAAATAGCCGCAATTGAATTACACATTCAACTCAAAAAACCTTTTCGTAAAACTGCCTCAGCAAATTGGACTTGAACACATTTTACTTTAATTCAGGAAGTCGAAATGACAGAAAAATTGCCAACGCGGATCGGCGTTTGGATTGGATCATAAGGAGATTTATTGACGTGTGATCTGAGACAAGCGAATTCATCACTTTACGTCGGCAGCAGCACTTTCTTTGAAACATCAAAATATAAAACTCAAAATGATGCTGTTCGACTGGATAAAAATTTATTCATTAATTTTTCACTGAACATGTACAAAATTCGAAGAGAGTGGAAATAGAAAGGCACTTATAAATATAATATAAAAGATAATAATAATAACTGATTTACAAATTAAATTCGAATAACACACAGAATGTCAGAATCCTTTTTAAAATGACAGCATACACCAGTTATATAACAATACAATGAATGCTCATGAGCATTCACTACACAAATACACACAAAAACAATGCATTAATCTTCACTTTAATAATCACATTCAGCTGAATATTCCCTTCAATCACTTCGCTGCAGCTCAAGTCACTCTGGAATTCCTGATAGAAA